CAAAGCCAGCTCGCTGCCTGTTTTTAACAGTCCTTGAGCTAAGAATAGTTTCTATATTTTTTAAATCACTGAAAAAGATATCAAAACAAGTATATTTTGTGATGTGAAAATTATAGGAAATTTAATGTCACTGTTCATAAAGTTTTATTAGAACCCAGCCCCTTATTCATTTACATAATGTCTAAGGCTGCTTTCACTCTACAGTGGCAGAGTCTAGTAGTTGAGACTGAGACCCTAGGGCAAATGAAGACTTCAATATTTACTATTTGATCCTACATAGAAGTTTGCTGGCTCCTGCTTTAGATAATTTATTTGACCTCCCTGAGCCTCAGGATTTTTTTCTGTGTAGTGGAAACAGTGAACAGTATCTGCTTCAAAGGAATGTTATTAGGATTAAATGAGATAATGCATATTAGGACTCAATAAATGTAACCTATTATTTGATATATAGTTTATCATAACACTATTGCTTTAATGGTGTTATTGTTGTCCTTGTTATTATCTTGAAACTCCTTTTAATAGTGTTGAACTATAATCATTTTTCAATATTCTTACAGTAACAAATGTTTTTATTTATCAAGAGAAAACATATTTGTTTTATAATTATAAGAGCTAAATTATTAAACAAACATCCATGAATCAGTAACTGTGCTAATGTTTACTTTTTCAATTCCTGTTTTCACATCAGAGCATTTTCTGCAGTTATTAAAATAAGTGACTTTCTGTATACCTTAAATAGTTCATTATATTTTTAAAAGCAAATTAATATAGCATGATAAAGAACTAGCTTTTGCCAGAGACAAACTGGGTTGAATTCTGTGAATTAATCATTGGATACAGAGAATGAGAATGCTACATAAATATAAGGGAACACTGAACCAAAAAGGTAGAATCTAGAAGGTACCGTAAAACCTATGTAAAAAAAATATAAAAAGGAGTTTAACATTCAACTCTTTTCTCCAGCAGTAAAGTTATCAAAATTTTTCTTAGGAACTTATCAATAACTTCGATACAGGAAAATCTCAATGTATCTAATCTGTATCCTGTTGGTAGGCAAGACTTTATTCTAGTGTATTTTTAAAGCTATCTAGGAAACAGATACTGTCCCTTTCATTGAACTGTTTCAAGTCTTAATATATTATGAGCCATATATTACTTTTTTTTGTATCTCCAATATGTAAGGTTATGGGACACCTAACACAAAAGAAGTCATGAGTACATATTCACTGAGTTGAACTGAATTGAAACCAAGAATCCTTGTGGGTGGTCAGAACGCACCTCTCAGGATGGCTTCCCAGGCTCTTTACCTAACTTTGGTGAACTACACAATATTTACAGAGAAGAAATGGACATTTAGGACCAGATATGGTTCCTGTTTCTGTTTTGGCTAGTCTTTATATTCCATTGTCTTGTTACGCTTCTATTCTCTACAAAATAACATATCATTTAAAAAGTATAGTCTATTCCCTTTTCTGATGTAGCATGCAAATCCCACCACTTCATCTTCCATATTTACAGCAAGCAATGTAGAGGCCCTGTTTTATAATGATCAGGGGGAAATATGCATTATGAAATAATTTTCACTCTTAATTGGGGACTCTTGATGGATAGTCCAAAATATCTTCTCAGGAAAGGCAGAGGCAAAAAATATAGTTTACTAGATACTCTTAGTTTATGAATTCTTAATTTTAGGACTGAATATATGCTTTTAAAAACTACTAGTAGTACTTTTACTATAATAATAACTATACCTTATAAAAGGTCGTGTCACTGCAAGGATTGTTCTGATGAACCAAGATGGATGAACAATGATGAAGGATTTCAAATTCTTCCGCAACCTTTTTTGAAAAAAGAAAATATAATATATTATTATTAACCCATTTTCAATGAGAATTAAAACAGAAAATATATCCCCGAATAAGAATATATATAATTTTAGGGAGTTTTAAATAAGTCACTATTATCTTTTGAGAAGGTACAGAATGGCCATGATTAATAAAAAGAACACTTTTTGAGACATAATTTGAAACTTGCATGATTCAAACCTCATTTTCCCATAGGAATAACTGTAAAATAGAATGCTTGTGTGCTTGGAATGCATAAACCTATAACGATCATGGCATATTTTTGTGTAATGATGCTTTTCATTTTCATCAGCATTACCCTTACTATTTTGAAAAGAA